GTCTGGTCCGCAGACCTGAGGCGCCGGGCAGGTGTGTAGGGGCGGATGAGCTCAGAGATTAATAGAGTCCATCAGACTCGCTGTCATCAGAATCAGAGAGTCCATAAAAGTGTGAAAGCCTCTTCTGCCTGGAACATATCACAACCGGGCAAATGTGCACAGCCATAAAACTGGCTCATTTCCCTTTGGAGCAAATGTAAACAAATGAGGGGAGATTAAATGCCAACCATTTTACAGTCGCGGGTTTCTAATCGCTCCTAGTCAATGGTCTTTACGGTCAAAAAGGTACACAGCGTGCGAATGCAGCAATTATTTGGCTAGCATACAAAAGCTGAGGAGAAGTGAGTGACGGGGGAAAAATCAATTCTCACCGAGCATAAACTGCAAAACAACAGCTACAAATCGCTTCACGAAGTGGTTCGGTCTCAGAATTACAAACGGTGCGCGTGGGGAGTGGCGTACCTGTCTTTGCGTTCGCTCGGATTTGCTCCTGCACCACTCCCAGTCTGTCAGCTCAATTTTGCGGCCCTCTTCATGCGACAGCCTCCTCTCCGAGTCCTCGAACACAGACGAGGTGTCCGTGAAATGACGCTCCTTCTCCTGGTGATTAAGAGGTAAGGAGGGAATGTCGTGGAAGCCCTCCTCACCTCCGTGGTTCTCGCGGGACGACGAGGGACAATCAGGCGGTGCCTCTCCGCCGCTGCCGACGTCCTCTAACAAGAGGTCTGAATGAAAGGAGCTGTCCACGGGCAAAGTTGCACTGGAATTTGGGCCCAAGCGGCAGAGCCCACCAGTCTCCAGCGCATCCAGACGGCTGTTTGGGAAATCGCTATTGAAGAGGCTGTGGTAGGCCCGCTTCTCGGCCGGCGCGGTGCCGTGAGACATGGCAGCGTGGGACAGCTTGAACACGCCACAGCTTTTCTGGAGGGAAAGGTTGAACTCCAGTCTTCTTTTCATTGCTGTGAATAAAAGATTCGACAGTCATTTTCTGTCCGCGTAGTAGTCTCACCTGCGGCTACATTAGTATGCAGTTTCGGAGCGTGACAAAAAAATGATTTGAATCAGATAATCGGTTTCGGTTTGACAAACTGAATCATTACATTTTAACCTGGAGAACCCAAGAACCCTTTTCTTCTTTGGAAAATGATGAATTATACATTAAATGACCGCTATATCTTCACTGAACACCAAAATATAGGTTTTCTCAAAAATGTAATGCTTTAATCCTAATTTAGGATTAGGGCCAAATTTGACCTTGTGGGATTTAAGGGTAGAAATTGAGTCCTTGAATTATATCGCAGCCCATATGTGAAGCCAGGTATCGAATCGTCTTTTATGAGAGGTGTACGCCAGATCCAAATTGGTTTGAAGTTGATGGCGTTTCATGATCAAAATAGGTGTATGAGCTTCTGGCTACCGTTTATTCCAAGCAATCGGGACACCACGTAGAGGAGAAAAAAAAAAAAGACCTAATTCTTTCAAATTGTGTTAACGTGGCTTTTTGTAATAGGTTTATTCTGCAGCTCAAATCTGGTGCTTTTCAAAGTGGAAATGTCCTCCAAAGTGGAGACTTTTTAAAAGACGTCCTGCAGCCATCTATGTGGTGAAACGACCATGATGTTCAGCTTTCTTGTGAAAACGTTTACCAGTGAGTCGGAACTACAAAGGAGAAAGTTTAGACATTCGGCGAGACAATTTAACTCTTGCAACATTGAATCGACAAAGGTCGTCTGTCCGTCTTTCTCTTTCTTGCTCGGCTCCCCCGATGAGTCTCAAAGCGGCGCTCTCTCACTCCCTCATTGCCCCACGAGGCACCCGGCTATAGGTTGAAGAAGCTTCATGGGAACATTTATCCTCGGCCTACATCCTGCATGTCGTTAAACACGACAAAAGCTACTGCCGTACCATATCAGACAGAATCCTACTCAATCGAACCAAATAGAAGTGTTACATTTTAAAATCGTTACATCCTTGAATATATCATATTCCATTTATGAAGAATTGTATCGATTCATCTTTTGTGGAAAAAGGCACACCCCTGATGCATTTTTTAAAGGACATCCGTATACTCATCAGAGATGTCAGCAAAATTACAAAATATTTCGCGCATCGCTAATATTGTGACTATACCTTCAGTGTAAACTTCAGCTTTCCAGATGCCACGGCTACTCTGCAGGCACGGTGGATTGTTTTAAAAAGCACAACATATGTTAAATCAAAGAAAATACAGCTACCCAGGTGGCACTACCTGATTTTTTTTTTTTTAATTGAAGGGAAAGCAGAGTGTATATTTGTTTAATTATTTCGGGCATCAATGAGACTGCAGGGGTGTCAAACTCATTTTTGTCACGGCCCGCTTTGGGGTTGCATTTTCCCTCAGTGGGCCGATACGACGATATGACGGTGAAACTGAATATATGTTTATATTTTATTACTTGTACACAACTAATTGATGGATTACCAGTTTTGAAACCAGTCAAATCGACTATAGTAGTTTGTTCAATTATTGTTTGAGTGGGTGTTAACAAGGTCACAAAATGATCACAAAAATCTCAACATTATTTATTATACATGACAATTTGACATTTTGGTGCAATTTTAGCAAGGATCATGGAAGTTGACGCACATGATTTGCTTTCGCGGGCCACATAAAATGATGTGGCGGGCCAGATCTGGCCCCCGCTCCTTGACTTTGACACCTGTGAATTAGAGCCAGGAAAGCTAATCCCAAAGCAGGCGAAAGTACAACTTCTGGGAATTATATTTTGAACGTTATTTCATGATCCATTTGCTACATTTATTGTTTGTTAGTTTCATGTGACGAATTCCTGCCACTCTTCTACGTACAACAGCGCAAAATTCTTAACACTTTGAATTCAGTTTACCGATGCCACGTCTGCTATGCAGGGTTGTGGTAAAAACTGTGACATAAGATGCTTTCAGCTCACTAGTAGTCGCACTTCAACTACTTTTTATTTTTTAATAGTGGAATAAATGGCGCTTATTTCACCTATTTGTTCTGCATCACAGCAACTAGAGCACCCCCCCCCCCCAATATTATGAAAAACAATATCTAGGCCTACTAAGCCTATTTATGCTTGTTTCGTTTGGCTCATCAGTCAGTACCGTATGATCTGATTCCGGGCTACCTGAGGGGTCTGGTGTGGGCTCACGGTTGCAGTTAATGAAGCAGCCGCAGGGCAAATGGATCCAGCGCTTGGACAGTACGAATAGCGGCGTGACGGCAGGCGCGAGCAACGTGAGAAAGAAGCCGAGCGTCTCTAGGGACGAGCTGCGTGCATTGGCGGCGTGGCGCACCAGCATCAGAGTCTGTGAATAAAAGATGCAGAGGAACGTGAGGGGAATCACTCATGTTGTTTATCAGGGCTACATACGTAATGTTGTATTTGATTAACAATCGGCAAATATCAACCATTTGGCCGATTATTGATTATTTTGCGAATAGCCATCAAAAGCGACTATTCGAACAATTATGTTTGAAGGACCATAATCGGCCAGTTTAATCGGTCAGCCAATTAATCGGTCTATTTTATACTGTATATAAAAACTAAGGAAATAGGCTTGGGTAAAAATGATGGTACCCTTCATATTTTGTTGCACAACCTTCTACAATAAAACAATTCCTCTGCAACACCCGATGGGACTCGTTCACCCGTTGACAGGTATTCTCTCCACTCCTTGTGAGCAAACTTTTTGCTGTATCAGGTTTGAATATTTCAGTTTCAGATTCTGACTTTAATAGGATTTAGGCGAGGACTCTTCAGAACTGTCTTCTTTTGCTTGCGGCCATTCTGTTTTTAGCTGTGGACCTCTGATTGCATCCTACACAGATTCAAGATAACCTATGCTGGTTAGAGCACAGCAGCCCCATTTTCGATCAGTAAATATAGAGCTCAGATAACTCTCCAAAAAAAACTTCTGTTTTTGGGGGGGGGGGTTCATTACCAATTGGCATTTTTCATATTTCAGTATTCATTGGCAAATTCCGCTCATCCATTTTATTTATTTATTTATTGGTGACCTTTGTGGGTTTCTCTTATTTCAATGGAAGGGTCCAATCAACTCGTTTGAATGCTTTGTACTGTTACAGACTGTTGTAGACCTTGAGCTTTAAATTGACTAAATCAAGACCCACGGCACATTTATTCACCTGTTGCTAGAAAAACTTAATTATCCTCATGCACAAAATCCCTGAACTCACTAATTTTAATATTAATGGCCATCCTGAATAAAAGTGCTGTCTTGTCAAGTCCAAAAGGCACTAATTGATATACTGTGTCCAAAGAAGAAAATGTTCTTCCTTGTCCTACATCTCTTCAGTTAATTTTGCAGGACCACATTAATACACAAATGGGCGGCCACAGATTCATAAGCAAAAAGGTCACGCCCAAATCATTTGGTAACCACTGTACTTGACTTATAACTTTTGGGGGGGGTATTGGAGGAGGTGCAGGTTTTAGGAGAATGTATCTATCATAAATGTCGTCAAACTGAGTATTTTATCTTATATTTATATTATTTGAGGAAGATGTTATTTTTTTTTAACGCTGCAACTATTTAAGTATACATTTTCTAGACTTATAATACTGCACTTTTTCAAACGTCTTACGCTGTAATTATTATTGCATGCACACATTTAACTATGCATTCATCGTTGCTTTACTGCATAACTGATTTCCACTTAACTATGACAGCGGGTGCAAAGGTTAAGTATTTTTTTTCCCAATTTCACGTTTTGATATTAGGGCCTGCTTGCATCAGGGACAAATGGGGCCGCGACCCTCTGCACCAGCATTGTGGCTGTGGGAGAAACTGTTTGCTTTGTACCACTGAATACTGCAATTGAAAATGCAGTCGTTTTGAAAATCTCTGCAAATGAACATTCACTTGAATTTGTTAAATCGATGCAAGTAACATCAACAAACTCGTCTAGTATACTACCTAAACAGTAAAACTGCAAATTGGTATTAAAAATCCATTCATTTTCTACAAGGCTTGCCGTCATGAAAGTCACAGTTGAGCTTGTGCAGATGTGAAAACCACTAAGCTACTAGAAGCATGTAGTTTGATATCTCATCTTAATTTTTTTTTTTTATCAAACGAATTAAACCAATATCTCAACCCACCACTGTACAATCAACTGACATTTGTTTGCTAAAGCAAATTCTCATTTACAATGGAAATGTGCATTCAGCATTCTGAATTACATGTTGAAATATGTCGTGTGGTGCGTGTGTTGTTACTCATCATCATTGGCATCCATAAAGTAACCCTGACAACCGCAAGGACCATGGAGAAGCGCTTTTGGGCAAACACCACCGGCGGGTCCCCCGCAGTCGCCGACTTTTGCCGGCAGACGACCCTGGGGCAGCCCCCGGCAGCCTCCTTGCTCTCCTTGAGCTCGCACGTGGTCCCGCACGAACTCGGGCTCAATTCGTTGTAGGTTCCGAAACTTTTGTCCAGGCTGTCCAGAGAGAT